AAAAAAAAAAAAAAAAAAAAAGTAATACATATATACCAGTTGACTGCACATCCAACCAAGCTTGACGATTGCAAGATTCAGAAATGATCTTGAAACGGGTTTCAGCTTAGTCACCACTTTCGCTGACTGATCCAAACGGGAACTACTAGTTAACTACTACTAGTTAGTGCCGGTTACGTTGATGTTTACGCCTCAGGTATCCTTGCCTAAACCCAAGGAGGAACCAACAGGTGTCACTTGCGACCGGCCGATCTCGACCTCCGACCTAAAGGTACATACAACAAAGTACATACCACCACCTCCTCTTCTAATATCTACCCCCCTCATTGAAGCTTGATCCTGCATATTCACTTGGAATTAAGAAGGTAGGTCTCTCATCATATACCAGCACTCCCTCCTACATCATTATCAATGCCCATCCAAAGAGCAAGGATGATACTACAATCAACGGATTACTGACGTGGCTTCTCATCGTAGCAACCATCCATTTTCTTCGTTCCCGGAAGAAACCAATTGACCTTGCTTTCATCTCGTGCTCCGGTTCCATACCGTCCCACAACCGTCAAGATGATTTCCGACGACGACCTCCACCGTCTTGCCGTCTTTCTCGGCTCTTGCGCGATGATGATGATCGTTCTCTACCACTTCCTCGAAGTCAATGCCAAAGATACTGGAGTGGAGGACGCAAGTGAAGTGAAGAGGTCGGCTGCTGCGTTTCAGGAGTCAGTTGCTGCTAGCCCTTCGACAGTACCTGCAGCGGCCGCGGGCGGTTCGTCAGCCATCGGAGGAGAGAAAGACCGGTAACGGCTATGTTGATTTCTGTTAGCGTATTTTCCTTTCTTTTCTCGGTTTGATACAGTTTGCCCTTGGTTCCGACGGTGAAGAGTACGGCACAAGCGCAACGATAATGGATACCCTTATGGTCTTGGTTGGAGCGATAGATACCAGGAACGACAAGCCAGGACATGATCCGCATGGATGTGGTTACGTTGGTCCATGAAATACATCACTATTGTACAACTCACTGGGTGACTAAGTCTTCTAGCGATGGTAAACTGCCTTGAAATAGGGGTGAAAGATTAATGTACACAGAATATTCGAATCGAAACCAAGCCAAACGCCACTTCCTGGCATCGACACTAACCCTGTGTAATGCAGGATAGGTTACGAAACCAATAAATGCAATGGGGTATCACACGTGCTTTTCTAACTATCGATCTTCACTTCGTAGACATCCTCCTCATTGCTCACCCTCTCATTCCGGGCAGGGGTGGCCAACTGACATCCGCCGGGATCCAACCCAACCCCAATCTGTTCTTTGAGCCTCTGAACCGCCTTGAAAATTCCCTGGGCCTTGTCACGCTGTGTATTATGGCCATGCACACGATTAAATGCTCGGATTGAAGATTGATGAGCGGGAAAGATAAGTGAATCCTCACCGACCGCTATAGGGGACTCCGGGATAGTCGAAGGAACCGGGCTGTGGCCAGTAGTACCTTGAACTAAAAGCAGAAATCAAGTATTAATAATAAATCCTGTAGATTAGAGATCACGTTGAAAAGCAATCAGCTATATGCTTTCTCACCAGTTCCAGGCACTGATGGTCCATCACCCAATTTCCAGGCAATGGGTTCAAGATGAGTACTTCGAATGTGCTTCACCAGTTCGGCTGCGGGGAACTTGTCGTCGCAGGTGCAGCCTTTCCATGCACAGGTGAGGGCGTAAGGTACGTGCACTTTGTAAATATGTTTGGCGAGCATTTCCAGGTTATGAAGTTCAGCGTTACAGCTGTCCCATTCGCAAGAATAAACCTGATAAGGAACCAGAGGAGTGGGAGCGGGAGGAGCCACCACCTGGACTTTTGAGCTCCCTGGAGGGCGTCCCGGCGGGCGTCCCGGCGGCCTTCCAGGTCTCTTCCCAGCCATCTTCCCCGGCTGAATGCTTGGACTTCTTGTCGGCGCCTGTACTACGGGTTTATGTAGAGCCTGGGGTTCCGTCAGCGCTGGCGAGTGTGCTTGGGTTTGCTCTGGGGTTTGTGAGTTTTGTTGGTTGGGGTGTTGCACTTGAGGGGGTGGTGGTTGCGCGGGTTGGCTTTGTGTTTGTATGGTTGGCACGGGCGTGCCGTGCAAGGCCGGTTCCTTTGGCGGAGCGGAAACTTGCATCGGCGCCCGAGGCGGGTCACGTGGTTTTTTCACACGCTGCATATCGACCATATCCCAGCGAAAGGTTTCCAAGTCAGATGAGGTATCAACATGGACAAAAACATCGCGCAAGCGGGAAAGGTGATGGTTTAGTGCTGGTTCCGTTGGATGACGCCCGGCTGCGATTAACACATCTCTGGCGATCGTCCGCGGGTCATAACTTAGTCTAACAGCAGCATCTATCTTGTTTAGAGGTTTGACGATGTCCACACGATTCTTGAGGAATGATTTGTCTGAAGTATCACGAGGGCTGAAGGAAAAGGACGAGAGATTTTCTTTTGAGACCGGTTTCGCCATGGCAGGAGTGGCTGTAGATGTCATACTGTGCTGGTTGGATGGTGTAGAAGTGTCTAGACGGCGCCTTTTCGTGTCATGGCCATGGTCTGGCTTCTGAGGTGTATATGATTTCCATGAAATTTTAGAGTCAGTAAGGGGCTGGTGAGAGATCTGTCCTTGGGGGGCCACTGGAGCAGTTGATGGCGTGGAGTAAGGCTGTGGTCCCTGGTAGTAGCCTAGCATGGAAGCGGCAGCCTCGTACTGGGCGGTAGTATTTGCATACGGAGCATTTTCTCTCATATATTCTTGGTTGGATGGGTGATATGAGGATTGAGGATAGCCGGAAGAATTGGCCATGGCAGTTTGTAATGCTGGCGGCGCACCGAGATACGGAGCCGGGTGTCCTTGTACCGGTCCGGAAGCAGTTCCATATCGCTGGTCAATGCGATACAAATCTGGTCGTGGATAATTAGAAAGCCAGTCATATCCATCGTTTGACATTTTGAGAAACCGACGCCACGCTGTTAAGGATCCTCAGTTCAATCACTATTCGGTCTCTTAGCATGATGTAAAAGGAAACAATGTCAGATCATATGCATTAGTCGAAGTAATAACAACTTTCACTTGCAATTGATTGGGGTTAGGGTGCTACACACATACTGTGTATAGATATCCAGGTACAGTATGATCATGTCGCGCATGGCGATGATCTTCCAATAGTGGGACGCGATGACTTCTACTAATCCTCACCGCCTACTATCTTTATCAAAGGGCTGAAAAGAATGGACACAGGCAAGGGCAGAAAAGGTACACGCGCAGGCGGTGTCCCTGAATTGAAACCTCGGCCAAGGGAGCCGGCAACCTTCTGGTCCCACCGCAGCCAATGGCTGAAGATCCAAACCCTACGCTATGTCATGTGACGCACATTAGCGCTGGCGCACATCTTCCACTGGCGACTTCCCACGACTATCTTCACCCACAACCTCACCCTGAGCTCGACTTAGATCATCCATGGAGGCTCAATAAGATGACCATCATGTACCAGGAATATGTATGAAAGTCCGTTCTGTTGATCTGCTGAAGCTTCAGCAACCATCCTGGTTCCAACAAGTGCCGTGAGGGCAAGATCATCAAAAGTCCAACAGACCTGGATTGTATTCATCCCTCCATGATCGACATCTCCAAGCTCAAGTTCAACGACTGCGAGCAGATCCTGGAGCGCGTCGTGAAGGGATATGAAGCTGCCAATGCTTAGTTCCGCTTAGGAGACTTGCTTTTTGACTGCTGTGTTGCAAATAGGGTGATTTACCGGGGGATATGAGATAGAATAAACCTGCTATGACCAGGCTTTTATCCTATGTTTCTCAAGAGACTGGCATACTCTCCACCATAGGTGTATCCCTAGTCAGGCTGTAGCCGCATCTGATGAGTCCTTCAATGTTCAAAGGTTCATATCACTGCAGGTTATTGCTGAGTCTTCCCTCCGCCCTTTTGCGAAACTGCCCAACGCACCTTGATCCGATAACCGCTACACACGTAGCAAAGCAAATTCCCTATCACCCCCTCCATTCCCCAAGTCTTTCTCCAATTTGGCGCCACATTATCTCCTTATCAATCCCGTCTCTGACGGATCAGTGGTTGAAGAGGTAAACGGATGGCGCAGAAGGAATTGCAGCAACCTAAATCTGGTAAAACCAGAGGTTGACCTGCCTTGCTTGCAGACTCGCACTGATGCGTTGGCTAGGAAGCTGTGAGTTTGAGAGTGAGACACATTACTTTGTAAGAAGTAAGCTTGGCTTTCTTGTTATGGTTGTTTGAATGAACATTATTTGATTTGAGATGCTTCTTTCCTCTATGTGCCTTTGTCCAGGTAGTATATGTCAATGGATTTGGTATATTCGTATTTGCATGGATATAGATAGAATGTCTGCATGAATGTTCTCTGCGTCAACTATCCAGCTTCATATATCTAATGCCTGTATGTTGTCCCGTAAAAGGAAAAGGAATGTATTATGTATATAAATACCAGCTTTAATAGTACACGAAGAGAAACTGTGCTAATCCGCAGAACAAACTATCGTGAACGACATTGTAAAGCCCTGGGTGATAAGCTGAGCCGACAATCTTATTGTCCTCGAGAGCATTGAATCGCCGACATCCCATCCCGTACGCAGCAGCGGGAATCATCACGACCAGATCAGACCGGCCAAAAGCACTTTCACTCACTCACTCGCTATGACCAACGCACTTCCCCCAAGCCGGCAGTCCACATCCCATCCCAATAAACAGATACAGTAGGAAAACAATTACCACTCCCAAAAGCACCATCAACTTGATATTCTTCCACCACATCCGCCTCCTTAAGCCCCGACTCCGAATGCGAAAATCGTGCGCACTCCCACCCAACCGATCTGTTTTATCAACAAGCAGATCAATCCTCTCCCCACGTTCCAGCACCCGCTCGATATTCTCTGTCATGATATCTCTCACACTATCGATTTCTCTGCGGGCTGAGGCGAGTGAGTCCGACGGCGGGGCGGTATTATACGTCTGGAGTAAGGAGCGGAGCTCATTGTTGAACGCAGCGCAGCCGTATGCCGGTAGGCCGGCAAAATCAGTGCTGGAGGGTGGGTAGGTAGATAGGAACTTGCGTTTCATTTCAAGGAGAAAGGCGAATGGGATGCGACGGCCCTGTTCGGCGGTCGCGACCACGATGTAGCTTAGCGGAGCGTAGGAGTTGGGTTCCTGGCGGGAGCTGGAATCATCGCTTGCCCCTGTGGGCGAGTCAGCGATGTAGTGCACGAAGAGGCGTTCATGGGTGTAGGTGAGCTTTTGTGATTTCTCGTGCGTGATTTTTGGGAGAATGATGGAGGCGAGAGAGGAGGCGGAGGTTGAGGAGGTTCCGGGGGCGGAGTGCTCTGCGAGAATTGTGGTGCGGTGGGCTATGCAAGTACTGGAGAGAGTTCGATATGTTAGTCTTGGTTCGAGAGTGGTTATAATGTTTGGAGATTGTGCAGTAGATGGATTAGAGACGTACTAGAGCAGGAAGCTCGGGGGCTTTGAGGATGAAGCCATAGTGACTGCTTTTCTGTCCCGTAGTGTAACGGTAAAATAAAGGAGCTTGCTCTTAGAAGAATTGGTGAAAAGTACACTAATTGCTTGTTCGTCGGCCCAGGGAATTTGGTTGGCGCCTAGTGGAGATAAGGTTGTAAAGTAAAAAGAGATCGGTGTTGATAATCGCAATGCCGTGACGTCGGCACGCCAAGAACCCCGGATTCGGTCACGTGGAAATACATTCTTACAGAAAGTAGACACAATAAGCAAAAATTCTCATTGTTCTTATTACTAATTTACTAATAAAAATCTGTCGCCAATGCTTCATGGAATAATTCTATACATTGACACCGAGTTTATTCGTAAGTTGTATTATCCTTTCGCAGGCGGAGGACTGGAACAAGCCTCGTTCAAATCCATTTCCTCAAAATCACTTAAGGGGTCAGACTGGCTCAATGTGTCCATAACGACAGTCTCACTGCCATCACTCTCACAGTCAAACAAAAAGTCGTCGTTACCATAGGCTGATGAATTCAACAAGAAGGAACAGTCGTCAACTGCCTCGTAGCCGTCAAGTGATGCTGGCTCTTGGTGACTGCTCTCTCCACCCTTGTCTATCTGAGAACTAACAGTCATTGATTGTATAGACATGATGTCTGCTTCATAACCGTCAGTGGTCTTGTGGGACGCGCCTTGGACAGTACTCTCTATATCTCCAGTGCTGATGATCGAGACTGAATCGGCTGTTGACGCTGCACTACCTAAGTGAACGCCTGGACCTGGTGTAGAGAAACCCCCTGTTTCTAAGATGGGGATATCTTGGTCCATGAAGACCCCTCCCGTTCCATCATCGTTCCCCCCTGCCCATAGCGGTAGATATTTGAGTTCATTTTCTGTCAGACAGGTAACAGTGTCGGTTCTCTCGATCGAGCCTCTGCCCAGCTCAAACATATCACTTGCGTAGGTACTCACATATAGCCGTACATCTGAAACGAACATGTCCAGTTTGAATAGGTATAGGTCTTGACTATTTGATTGTAATCCACGTAACCAGGTCGCTGGGTCATAGTCGTCCACCATATCCCAGTGGCACGCTGCTTGTACTTGGTAAAAGGGGTTCCGGTGGTTCATACGAGAGTTGAATTTGTCCACCATCTCACATAGTTCACTTCTTGTCACCGGCCTGATTTTCGCGTCGGCATGGTCCCTGAAAGCTGGTACCCAATCTCCCAAACTGGCAATGGTAGAATCCCAAAACGATTCATTGATACCGGGAAAGTGACTTCCAGTAAATGGTTCGTTCATGAGGTTCTTCCAGAATGTCCTGCTGAGTACGCGCTCTGGGTAGCGCATTGAGCTATAGGCGTATTTATAGTGTGTCGAACGATCCTTACCCATGCTCCCGAGCACTGCTGGTAGCCAAATGCCGTTTCCTCTCTCCAGCCACTGCACGATACGTGCTCGGACATACTCCTTGCAGGTCAGCACGAGTTCGGTCTTGAGAATTTCCTCCCAATAAGTCTCTGGGGTGAACTCAGATAGGCGCAGAAAGCTTGGCAATTCAAAAAGCCACCTCATTTCAGAGCCTGCTAGATCGATGAATCGATTAATAACATACTCTAGAAAGCTCTTGCTTGCATATTCAATGCGTTGGAGCTCGTCATCGTCCAACAACGGCTCCCGGAGACGACCATGAAAGGTCCATTGCGGTCTACCTGGCAAAGGTGGTTTATCTGAGTTCGCTAACAAAAGCAGTGCCTCCTCCCCGACAAGGACCGAAAATGAGTCACGGCAAAGATAGTCACGCTGTACCCCACAGGCAATTTTGTATGTAATCTCGGGGTGGTACTCTATGAGAAGAGCATTTTCTGAGTCATAAAGCCAGGATAATATGAGATCGCTGATTTTTGGCACCGTGGCTACTCCGAATAGTCTAGCAAGTGCGAAGAAGGTCCAGAACTTGCAGGGAGTGTCGAGCTTAGGTGGAAACCCTTCCAAAGCATATATGATATGCTCAATTCCCCTACGGTGTCGACCCGCCGAGTATTCCACAGGAAGACCTGGCTTGCTTCCAGAAGCATTGTAACTGGCGACGCTTGAGGCGGATGTACTCGCAAACTTACTTTCTGGCAATTCGACATCATCCACACCACCCACACGGGCAGCGGGTAAATCCCACCAAACTGTAGGAGCTCTTGCCCAGTTCCTGATCCCCAGAGGGCACGACAGCTCTGTGAGAAATATAACGGCATCGTCCTCCACCGAAGGGGGTGTGAGATCAATGACGTACTGAATCCCATGAGTGAGCTTGCCTTTGAGTCCACGGCGACTGATGGCCCGAGCTTGAGCCCTTGGCTGGAAGAGGTCCTTGAAATAATTAGAGCCAGTCTCCAGAAGTTTTGGGCTATGAATACGGTGGGGAATTGACTCAGATGAGCGTGGCAAGGATGAGACGCATGATCTCTGCGGGGGAGGATCAATATACAGCAGCGTGTCTGCATTGCTAAGGAGAAGTAATCTTGAACAAGGATCATCGACATTTCTGCCTGGTGTGAAAGGATGCATATCATATATTCTTGAGCCCGCTGACAGTTGGGAAGAATCATCCATTGTTATATGTTTTCCCGGGGCTCCCACAAACGAATATGATAACAAGGTAGTCGGGACGTATTTAGAGCCGGTTGAGAAGTTTTAGTATATCTGTAGATAAATATAGGGTTAGTGAATAAATCACAGTCGGCCATATTAGCAGTACTAGCCAAGTAAGTCTTTCCCACAATATGCTCTAGGTTATATGTGAGATATTGGTAGGATAGTATAAACACCGACATTCGTCCAAAGTGAATCTAAGAGATAAAACTCTACGTCCAAGAATAAAAAAGATAGAATAGTATGAATGCAACGTACCTAGTAGGCTTTTGCACTTCATTGCGATCCTAGAACCAAAACATTCCTCGTACAAACAAATGCCCCTGTCGCGGGACCGCATGTGACCCCATGAGGCTGAGTCACGAAAAGCCTCAGGAACTGAGCCACGATGAGATGCCTCTTGAAGAAAATACTGCTATATACTATCCCATCAACCGGATGTCTGTTGAGCCTAGCGGTTGAAGAAGTTCCTGCGGAAGTTGACGTCTGTGTTTATCGTGAGCTAATTACAGCTCAATCTGAGAAGGTCCAAGATGCTAGTTTTACATAACATATACCTACTAGATAATGAAAATGTTTACAAGGAATTTGATACTCTCCACGCGTGGTTTCGCTCCAATAGATAACATGCTTGAAGGCTACCACTGTCATTCAAATGCTATAATCTAAGCCCCGTTCAATGCCTCAAAAGAGTATTCCGAGGTGCCTGATGTCCCAATAGTTGCTGGTTTCTATCAAAGCCCTAAATTCACTAGAAACGACGATTCAGCGATAACTTCTAGGCCAACCATTTGTCAATCCCATAACAAAGACGCCGCCATATTTAGCAGTGAAGTTGGTTCTACCATCTACCATGTTTCACCGGCCATAAGAACGCCTTTCCACTCTTTGTCTTTGTTTGGGCTTCTTTATATCAGACCAACTGCATCAACTCATGGTCTGGGTTAAATCCCAGGGTTGTGCCGTGATGACTGTCGGCGGCGGCGCTTAGTCCGCCGTGCGGTATCTCTCTGTGAAGGACCACGGCAGCCATATGGGCTCAGACGAAGAAAGCAACATAATGGGAGGTAGAACAGATGAACATGGGCCCCAGGAAAAGGGGACCGCTAAAGCACCGCCGGGATTAGGAGGAAAGAGTTGAGAAAGGGTCACCATTATCTAGAATTCATTATATCATATCATCGTTTTATGTAGAAAACACTGTGCATGTGTGCAGATGGTTTCTCAGTCGTGTATTGGGAAATATTGGGTATCAAGATTACAAGTTGAATCCAAGTATGAAACAGCCACCCAATATTTTTACACAACAGGGCCGAAGGACAGGATAATATACACCACAAATATACAAATGAAAGGCATTGCGTAGAAACACAAGAAGAAGTGACACCACGAATTCTCAAAATCAACACTTATCTTATAGTCATCCCTTGCGAGGCCACAGACGTCGCATCTGACGACTGCTCTTCACTGCCGGTCTTGCTTCTTCGAGACCTAGGATGGGGTTTTTTCCCCTTCTTCTCTGTGCGCTTTTTCTCGCGCTGATTTCCTTTCGACTCATCAGGTCCACTCTGACTTCGGCTTGTGCCTTCACGCCGGAGATCTTTCATCTCTCTGATCACTTCGCGGAACCCTTCCTCGATATTGTTCATGCGAGCAAGGACGAGTTTACTGAGAATATCCTGGCTGCTGTGAGAGCTATCTGGTCGGCGCATACCACCCGTCGCATATGCCATCTGGGTTGTCAAACTTGAAGGAGCGCCTCCAACAAAGCCATTCGCGATCGCCTTGTTGTCTCCTATGTCAGATCCCAGGCCATGGAGAATGGGGTCTGTACCACGCTCACTATATCGCCGGCCAGGAACCAAAAAGTGACCGAACTCCGGCACAGACATGGGATTCGAAACGGGCATAGTAACATTTCGATTCCGACCGTCAGTACTGTGCCTTCTCATCGCCCATTGGTCAGCAGATGTAGACCTAGCCACCCAATCCGCGTGATCCGGTGTCTCTGCTCTGGGTCTGACAGGGGTCGATGGTGCTTCAGTTTCTTCACCATTGCTCGTTGTAGATAAGGGTCTGTATAGCATAGTGGCGCCTGAGTAACTCCGGAAATGATGCTTAGCACGCCGGACGGGACTGTTTCTCCGGGACTTGACTTTCGCTGTTGATGGCCGAGAGCTGTAAAATTTCGGCGTTGCTTTACCAGGGCTTTCATCCTTGGGTGTATCGTCATCATCAGAGCTTTTTCCATTCGACTGATCTTCATGCCCGTCGCTTGTGAGCTCATCATCCCCTTCCATGCCTGTATGTCGCGAAAGCTGCCGTCTTCGCGTCGACGCCATGAAATCCCTTCCAGCACGGGGAGTGGCTGGTGAGGATGCAATATAGGCAACCTGGTCTTCAGGATTTGACACAACGGAGCGGCTTGACTCGGTGAAGTCTCGCAAACTTCGGGTGAGCCTCCTGCGGGAAGGGTGCCGTGGCCTTCGGGGCCATTTTTCGAGCTGGCTGACTTCATCCGAGTCCTGCTCATCAGGAGGATTGCCCGGACCAGGACCTATGGTTTGCATCCAGTTTTTCACGATTTTGTTGGTCTTTCTTTGATCCATCTCCCTTACAGGTTCCATGGTCTCTCCGTGAAAAGGTCGACGAAAGACCTCTTCCAACGCACGATCCTTCTGATAAGTTGCCACAGATGGTTCCCGAACAAGCCGGGGGGCTTTAGAACTGAAAGCCTTGAAGCGACTATGCCGAGGGCCACGTGTGCGAGACGAAGTCCCGGCGCGAGTTTGAGAATCAACCAGGTCTGTAGGTTCAATCACTTTCGAACTGAGGATCATTTTCTCGTAGAAGCAGATGGTGAATAGAATGGGAAGGTGGGTAATCTTAATAATGGTACGGTTGACGCGTACAAACTGTCTGAAGGGCATCGCATAACGGAAAGGTGTTATTAACCAAGCGATGATGTTGGTCGGCGCCACGTAAGAGAATAGGGCATCCGACTTAACCATGGAGATGGTATTGACAGCAAACAAAAACTGATGTTCTTGGTTGGCATTCTGCACAATACCCATGAAGGAGTTTGTGAGAACAGTGATGAGAATGGTCACAACAACAAAATGACAGATGAACAAGAACATAGTCAGAATCATCTTCCCCAATATATTGTAATCATTCCAGAGTGCCCATGCGGTCGGCGTGAACCCCATCAGCATCTGAAACAAGGCATACGCTATGGATCCAGGCGAACGATCTTCGCCGCTGCCGAATGACAAGGTAAAAGCGACAAAGAAGCCACTGCATGCAATTATGATCAAAAAAAACACGGCTACCAGGTCAGAAGCCATGATCCTGAACGCGATAAGCAGCTGTGAGAAGTAGCGGTAGTGATCTAGGATCGAGAAAAGTCGAGGGAAGAGGAGGACAGCGTTTGCAGCCAAGATATCATACGCCTGATCGGCGACTGCTTGCTTCCGGGTGAACGGCATGAAAGCACCATACAGCCGCAGGCAATAGTAGCAGAAAAGAAGAAACAGTATACCGAGGTCGAATAAGTTCCAGAAACTCATGAGATACAGACTGAAGCCCTGTTCGTTAAAACCAACAATCTCATCAAGCATGAAACCTGCGCTCCAGAACCAGAAGACAACCTCTAGGGCACTAATCTGCACATGTCGCCGGTCTAGAACTGCGAGGAACAATGCCAGTAATACAGCAAACGATAGCGTCGAGAGAAACTGCCTGTAGCGAGGAACCCTCAACCTAGAGAGTTTAAACAGAGAGGCATCTCTCGGGTCATATAGCGTAACTGAGCGGCGCAGCTCAGTCGATCTGTGGCTTATCGTGTCGGCAAACGGGTTGGGGGTGCTGGCGGTAATACCATACGTCGGCCCTGCACTGCGACCGACTCGTGTCGGTGAGCGATGGAGATAGTCTGCTGCCGAATGGAAAACGATGGTGCCCGCCCAGATTGCCTCCAGCTGTTGTACGACAAGCGGGTGAGATAGGAACCGCTTCGCCTGGGCACGGATCGCTATCTCGAGGCACGAAATGCGGGCTACCCCAGACTGCCGCTTGTTCCCTGGGGCAGGGGTCCAGCCCGGGGGCTGTTGGGAGTCCCCGGGCAACGACTGGCCCTGGAGGGGAAAAAACTCGTATGAAAGAGCATCAATCAACTCTCTCGTGGTATACTCTCTCAACAACTTTATGGCAAGAAGCTCACTCACCATCGCCCTGGTCTGGCATGTACCACTATTGCCGGGGTTAAGATGGACTTCTTTGTTGAATTGCAAACAGTTGGTCAATAAGGCATATAGCGTGGCCCGAGAAAAATGAAATGCTCTAATCTGTTGCTGGATAGGTTTTACCAGAAACTGAGAGATCTGGGGCGACCGCAACTGATCCCAGGACAACGTAGTCTCGCAACGAGCTGTGATAAGTGCGCGAATCGCATGGGTGATATCGTAAACGGGGAGCGTATCTATACATAACAAAACGACCACCAGTCAGACATCTCAATCGACTACTTTGTTCGGGAAGCACAAAATGATAAATACCTAAGTGAGAGGCTGAGAAGATGGGCAGGAGGGGACTGGACTCAGAAGGACCATCGTCTTCGTCCCCACTTTCATCCTCTTCACCATCATCGACGCCCTCATTAGCATCATCATCGTTCCCCTGAACCTCCTCATATTGCGCTTCGGAGCCACGCTGAAGGAACGGCCATGGCAAATCCCGGGTCGTATAAGGTGACGAAAAGGGAGAGCGTTCTGCGTACACTCGACGTTTCTTTGGGCGAAGAAGAGAAGCAAGCATGATGGGAAAGGCCCTGTATTCCCCAACCTTGAAAAACAAAAGCTGGTGGTGTGGTTAATGCATGATCCCGGGGAGACGACTCGGAAAGGTGAAACGACGACGCGAACCTAGCACTAGATAAGGTACAACGCCATGGGGTGTTTTATCAGCACTCTAGGGAGGTTCGCGTGATCCAAGAGGGATATTTCTGATCAACCAGGAAGGGATATAGAAATTAAAAACAAGCCAGGGCAATTATTTGCTTGGACAATTGACGCAGTTCACATGCGCCTGCATGGCAGAATTAGTAGTACTAGTGGAGAGGGGAAAGATCGCTGAAGACGCGGCGCATCCCAGAAACTTTTGCCGCAACGCGATTCAATTTTAGTGCCCTTGCTTTAACTTTTTTTTTTTACCAGCTGACCCATAAGTCAATAACCGATCAGTTGCACACCCTATCAAAAACTTCCGCGGCGGGAGAGTCGCTGACCTTCGGGATACTATTTGGTCGTGGGGCAAATCTAGAATGATCAATTATGATACCTTGTTTTCATATTTTGAATGCTATTGTTGTTCTTATAGATCATGTAAGTAATAAGGGTTCTTTATATTTTCCGTAGCTTGATCAGCAACGGATCCATGGATGGGGTTGGTCCAGGTATGATGCAAGTAGAAGTGCAAGAAATGGAATATATATATATATATTTTCGGGCATTTTGACGTAACGATAATCACATAAGTAGTGGAGTGTAGTATATCAATTGCTGGAAGGGGGCGAAATGATGGTAGTAATCATGGTAATAGATACAAAGGTAATACGAAATATATAACCGGTTTTACGTTTATGGATCAAAATCTCAAGAAGGTACCTGCTTGTCAAGAAAAAAAATTTTCCGTCATTGAGATGTACTGCCATGGGATTTAATTGGATTCCAAAGAGTTGAAGCTTTCAGAAACACGGACCATAGAAGCGTCTTGGCGGACAAAAAAAACAGGGAAGGCTGCTGGTTCGCTGCACACCGCCTGCAGTGTCGTTGTGTCGATCGGAGTGGCGAGACCCCTCCATTTTGCCAGTGTGCGCACGGTGGTGGCGTTCAAAAACTGAGCTTTTCCCTTCTCCCCGACTTACGGAGTTCAAAAGGGCCGCAACCGGACGGGGCCCTTCAACTTGAAGACCTATTACTAAGAAGGAACTTAAACTGCAGCAATGCACGACCCTAAACGCATCAATCAATTTTTTCAATTAATATACTGTTCTTATGCCCAGTGGGTAATTTTTAGTCGAGTCACTTTAAAACAACAACCTCTATTGTCCTAGTTAGATGGTTAAAGCGCAAATATTTGGTATATAGTTTAAAAAGTATTACTCAAGGAATTGACCAGTTCACTACTGATTACGAGCATTGGCATTATCAAACAAAGGAAGGGCAGAGAAGGCAAAAGAGTTCGCATGCAGTAGAAAAAATTTTCTCAATCGGGCGGTCTATCAAGGCAGAATTCTCAGTGATCTCCGGATCGGTAAGCTGGTTGATCCAATGAGAAAGCTCCCTCAGCCCGCCGAACACAAAATTTTATTTTATACGACCATCCCCGTCGACGAGATTTCTTTCTTCTCTTTCTATATTCCTCCTGTGCTGAAGCAGCAAAAAAGACCCCTCTCCCTCCCGCTCTCTCATCTTTTCATAGGAGTTTTGGAGGCTGCTGATGCTACGGTAGAGTGAATACCCCTGCCATACTGTCCCCGAGAGGACCTTTTTTCCCCTCCACGCCCACCCCCACACAGTTTCCCCAATGCCACACTCCGCCGGTCACGAGGAGGTCGCACTCCCTTCGAGTCCTTTGACTGGAGGAGCTGTTTCTTACAATCAGATCAATAAGGAATTGCAACCACTTCCCTCAATGGATCTTAGCAGTGGCGCCGTGATTCCCCCCGCCTCGTCTCGAGTGCGTGGCGGCAGCGGGAAGCTGTTCGCTCTTGAGCTCGAGGATGGCACAGTCTACCAGGGTTACAGCTTTGGCGCTGAGAAGAGCGTAGCAGGAGAGCTGGTTTTCCAGACTGGCATGGTAGGATACCCGGAGTCAGTGACTGACCCCTCCTATCGTGGCCAGATCCTGGTCGTCACTTTCCCCTTGGTGGGCAACTATGGTGTTCCCTCTCGGGAGACCATGGACGAGTTGTTGAAGACATTACCAAAATACTTTGAGTCAACCGAGATTCACATTGCGGCACTCGTCGTTGCCACCTACGCCGGAGAGGACTACTCACACTTTCTTGCTGAGTCCTCCCTGGGACAATGGCTGAAGGAACAGGGTGTTCCTGCCATGCACGGAGTCGACACCCGTGCTCTGACAAAGCGCATCCGTCAGAAGGGTAGCATGCTTGGCCGCATGTTGCTCCAGAAGTCCGATGAAACATTGGAGGAGGCTCCAGTGGACAAGGACAGCTGGAGGTCCTACTTCGAGCAGACTGAGTGGGTTGACCCGAATAAGAAGAACCTGGTGGACGAAGGTAAGCCATCCGCTTAGGAGTGATCTTTTTATGAGTAAGCTTTATCTGACTGGGTTGTTTTTAGTTTCCATTCGGGAACCACGTCTTTTCTCCCCTCCTGAGAATGTTGCCCTCAAACACCCTTCTGGCCGTCCGGTTCGCGTTCTGTGCTTGGACGTTGGTCTGAAATTCAACCAGCTGCGCTGCCTGCTTGCTCGGGGCGTTGAAGTCTTGGTTGTCCCTTGGGACTATGACTTCCCTACCCTCGCCGGCAAGGACTACGATGGTCTCTTTGTCTCCAACGGTCCTGGTGACCCTGCCACAATGACCACTACTGTCAACAACCTGTCGAAAACCCTCAAGGAGGCACGGACCCCTGTGTTCGGTATCTGTCTGGGCCACCAGTTGATTGCCCGCTCTGTCGGCGCTCAGACCTTGAAGATGAAGTTCGGTAACCGTGGTCACAATATCCCTTGCACCAGCATGGTGACCGGCAAGTGCCACATCACTTCTCAGAACCATGGTTATGCCGTCGATTCCACAAGCCTCCCCGAGGACTGGGAAGAGCTGTTTGTGAATGCCAATGATGGCAGTAACGAAGGTATCCGGCACACCAGCCGTCCGTTCTTCAGTGTTCAGTTCCACCCTGAGAGCACTCCTGGTCCCAGAGATACCGAGTATCTCTTCGATGTGTTTATCAACAGCATCAAGGATACTCTGACTTCCCCCGAAGCTATCAACAAGCCCGTTACCTTCCCAGGTGGCACTGTGGCTGAGAACATCAAGGCCTCGCCTCGTGTCTCCGTCAAGAAGGTTTTGATCTTGGGAAGTGGTGGTCTTAGCATTGGTCAAGCTGGAGAATTCGATTACTCTGGAAGTCAGGCTATCAAGGCCTTGAAGGAAGAGGGCATCTACACTATCCTGATTAACCCGAACATTGCCACCATTCAGACCTCGAAGGGATTGGCGGACAAGGTGTATTTCCTTCCTGTGAATGCAGACTTCGTGCGAAAGGTTATCAAGCACGAGCGGCCCGATGCTATCTACGTCACCTTCGGTGGCCAGACCGCCTTGCAAGTCGGTATCCAGCTCAAGGATGAGTTTGAGTCTCTTGGTGTCAAGGTTCTGGGTACACCAATTGACACAATCATCACCACCGAGGATCGTGAACTCTTTGCTCGTAGCATGGACTCGATTAACGAGAAATGTGCCAAGTCTGCTTCGGCATCCAACCTCGAGGAGGCTCTCCGAGTCGTGGAGACAATCAAGTTCCCTGTCATCGTCCGTGCTGCTTACGCTCTTGGAGGTCTGGGCAGTGGTTTCGCTAATAACATGGATGAACTGAAGGACCTTTGCACAAAGGCATTTGCTGCCAGCCCCCAAGTTTTGATTGAGAAGAGTATGAAGGGCTGGAAGGAAATCGAATACGAGGTTGTCCGTGACGCCAGAGACAACTGTATTACTGTTTGTAACATGGAAAACTTCGACCCTCTTGGTATCCATACCGGTGATTCCATTGTTGTTGCGCCGTCGCAGACTCTTTCTGATGAGGACTACAACATGCTGCGCACAACCGCTGTCAATGTGATCCGGCATCTTGGCGTTGTTGGAGAGTGCAATATCCAGTATGCGCTCAACCCATTCTCGAAGGAGTACTGTATCATTGAAGTGAATGCTCGTCTGTCAAGATCCTCTGCTCTTGCTTCAAAGGCTACTGGTTATCCTCTTGCCTTCATTGCGGCCAAGCTTGGTTTGGGCATTCCTTTGAATGAGATCAAGAACTCTGTTACTAAGGTCACTTGCGCCTGTTTCGAGCCTTCCCTGGACTACTGTGTTGTGAAGATTCCCCGCTGGGACCTTAAGAAGTTCACTCGTGTCTCTACTCAGCTTGGCTCCTCTATGAAGAGTGTTGGTGAAGTCATGAGCATTGGGCGAACCTTCGAGGAAGCGATTCAGAAGGCCATTCGCTCCGTTGATTTCCACAATCTTGGTTTCAACGAGACTAGCGCACTTATGTCCATCAAGGGCGAACTGCAAACTCCGTCCGATCAGCGCTTGTTCGCCATCGCCAACGCAATGGCCGCCGGATATAGCGTCGATGACATTTGGAAATTGACCCAGATCGATAAGTGGTTCCTTAGCAGACTTAAGGGTCTCAGTGACTTTGGCAAGCTTATGACCACTTATAATGCTACCACTGTTCCCAGACCTCTTATTCGACAGGCCAAGCAGCTGGGTTTCTCTGATCGTCAACTTGCCAAGTTCATTAGCTCCAACGAGCTCGCCGTCCGTCGCATGCGTGTTGAAGCTGGTATCATCCCTATCGTCAAGCAGATTGATACCGTTGCTGCTGAGTTCCCCTCGGTGACCAACTATCTGTATCTTACTTACAATGCCTCTGAACATGATGTTGCGTTCAATGATAAGGGTATCATGGTCTTAGGATCTGGTGTTTACAGAATTGGTTCCTCCGTTGAGTTCGACTGGTGTTCTGTCCGTACTATCCGCACTCTCCGTGAACAGGGCTACAAGACCGTTATGGTCAACTATAACCCTGAAACGGTCAGTACAGACTATGACGAAGCCGATCGCTTGTACTTTGAGAACATTAACTTGGAGACTGTCTTGGATATCTATCAGCTGGAATCCTCCAGTGGTGTTATCATGTCCATGGGTGGTCAGACTCCAAACAACATCGCCCTGCCTCTCCACCGTCTCAATGTCCGCATTCTTGGAACCTCTCCTGAGATGATCGATGGAGCTGAGAACAGATACAAGTTCTCGCGTATGCTTGACCGTATCGGTGTTGACCAGCCCGCGTGGAAGGAGCTTACTAGCATCGAAGAAGCAACCAGCTTCTGTGACAAGGTTGGCTACCCTGTGCTTGTCCGACCTTCTTATGTGCTTTCCGGAGCTGCCATGAACACTGTTTACTCCGAGCATGATCTTGCCAGCTATCTCAACCAAGCCGCTGAGGTTTCGCGCGAGCATCCTGTTGTTATCACCAAGTATATTGAGAACGCCAAGGAGATCGAGATGGACGCTGTGGCACTTAACGGTACCATGGTTGGGCATTTTATCTCTGAGCACGTCGAGAATGCTGGTGTCCACTCTGGTGATGCCACATTGATCTTGCCCCCGCAGGATCTGGACCCAGAGACCGTCCGGCGCATCGAGGAGGCTACTAGGAAGATCGGTAATGCCCTTAATGTCACTGGTCCTTACAACATTCAATTCATCGCAAAGGACAATGATATTAAGGTCATCGAGTGTAACGTCAGAGCTTCTCGTTCCTTCCCATTCGTTTCCAAGGTCATGGGAGTTGACCTCATCGAGATGGCCACCAAGGCGATGCTCGGGGTTCCCTTCCAGGAATACCCTCCTGTCAGTGTTCCCAAGGACTACGTTGGCGTGAAGGTGCCCCAGTTCTCCTTCTCCCGTCTCTCTGGTGCGGATCCGGTCTTGGGTGTCGAGATGGCCTCCACCGGTGAAGTTGCTTCCTTCGGCCGCGACAAGTACGAAGCTTATCTCAAGGCACTTTTGTCGACTGGTTTCCGCCTACCGAAACGCAATGTGCTGTTCTCTATCGGTTCATACAAGGAGAAACTCGAGATGTTGCCGTCAATTCGCAAGCTGCACCAGATTGGGTTCAACCTCTTTGCTACTTCTGGTACTGCCGACTTCCTGAAGGAGAACGGTGTCCCTGTCAAGTACCTCGAGATCCTGCCAGGCCAGGAGGATGAACTCAAGTCCGAGTACTCTCTCACTCAGCACTTGTCGAACAACCTCATCGATCTCTACATCAACTTGCCGTCTAGCAACCGATTCAGGCGCCCAGCCAACTATATGAGTAAGGGTTACCGCACTCGCCGAATGGCTGTTGACTACCAGACCCCCTTGGTCACCAATGTCAAGAACGCCAAGATCCTGATCGAAGCTATTGCTCGTCACTATGACCTGGCCGTGCAGACAATTGATTATCAGACCAGCCATCGCACTGTCACACTTCCTGGCTTAATCAACATTGCCGCTTTTGTGCCCGGTCTTATGACTCCTGGCTCCAAGGACTTCGAGCTTGTGACCAAGGCTTCTATGGCTGCCGGCTTCAGTATGGTGCGCGTCATGCCTGTTGGCATCGATGCCTCTGTCACTGATGCTCGCGCATTGAAGGTTGCCCAACAGAATGCCCAGAATGCTTCTTTCTGTGACTTCAACTTTTCCGTTGTAGCAACTTCCACCAACGCTGAGCAAATCGGTCAGGTTACTGGAGATGTGGGTTCTCTGTTCATTCCTTTCAACCACCTTTCTGGAAATATCAGCAAGGTCGCAGCAGTCACCAGCCACTTCGGCGCTTGGCCTTCGAGCAAGCCAATCATCACAGATGCCAAGTCTACCGACCTTGCCTCGGTCCTTTTGCTGGCAAGCCTCCACAGTCGCAACATCCACGTCATGAGTGTCTCCTCCAAGGAAGATATTACTCTCATCGCGCTTAGCAAGGAGAAGGGTCTCAAGGTGACTTGCGATGTCTCTGTGTTCAGCCTCTTCCTGTCTCAGGAAGATTACCCTGAATGCAGCTTCTTACCTTCCGCTGAAGATCAGAAGGCCCTCTGGGAGAACCTTAGCACCATTGATGTTTTCTCCATTGGCAGCATTCCGTTCCAGCTTGCTGGCGAGAAGGCTTCCCCAGAGGTCGGTATCGCTGAAACTCTGCCACTGCTCTTCACTGCCGTGTCGGAGGGTCGCCTGACCGTCCAGGATATCATCGCTCGCCTGTATGAGAACCCCAAGAAGATCTTCGAGCTACACGATCAGGTCGACTGTTCAGTTGAGGTCGAAGTTGACCGCCCGTACCTGTTCCAGAACGCGCACGCGTGGTCTCCTATCAGCGGAAAGAGCGTGAAAGGATCTGTCCAGCGGGTTACCTTCCAAGGAAAGACATCCTGCCTCGACGGCGAGATCACACCCGATGCTCCGAAGGGAACGGATATGTCTGCCCACCGGATTGTGCCGGCATCTCCTTCTGTCAAGGCCATGTCTCCCTTAGTGCAGGCCCGGCCAGAGGGTATCGATGGACGGCTGTCAGTTGCGGGAACTCCTGCTCGCCCTTCACGTCGGGCCTTGGACCAGGCCCCTGCTGTCGGTGAACTTGGACCTCCCTTGTATCCTACCGTCTCACAAACCTCTTCTCCTCTGCATGAAATGCTCTCTCGGTCAACTTTCAGACAGAAGCACGTGCTCTCTGTCGGCCAGTTCACCCGTGCCGACCTACACTTGCTCTTCACTGTGGCCCAAGAAATGCGTCTCGGTGTTCAACGTCAGGGCGTCCTCGATGTCCTGAAGGGCCGTGTCCTTTGCACCCTCTTCTATGAGCCTTCGACCAGAACGTCTGCTTCCTTTGACGCTGCTATGCAGCGTCTTGGAGGACGTACCATTGCCATCTCGACGGAGCATTCTTCGACAAAGAAGGGTGAGAGCTTGCAAGATACCCTCCGAACCCTCGGCTGCTATGGAGACGCTGTCGTTCTCCGTCATCCAGACCCGACCAGCACTGAAATCGCTGCCAAGTTCTCCCCTGTTCCCGTCGTCAACGGTGGAAATGGAAGTGTTGAGCACCCGACGCAGGCATTCCTGGATCTCTTCACCATCCGTGAAGAACTGGGAACTGTCACTGGCTTGACGATTACCTTCACTGGTGACCTGAGATATGGCCGCACCGTCCATTCTCTTATTAAGCTTCTCCAGTTCTACGACGTGCGGGTGCAGCTTGTCGCCCCTAAGGATTTGTCCTTGCCGGAAGAGGTTCGCCAGCAAGTTATTGCTTCCGGCCAGCTGGTTGTGGAGTCCGAGGAGTTGACTCCGGAGATCGTTGCTCGTTCCGACGTTTTGTACTCTACCCGCGTACAGAAGGAACGCTTCGCCGACCTGGAACAGTATGAGCGTCTCAAGAACAGCTTCGTCATTGACAATGCTCTTCTCAAGCACGCTAAGAGCCACATGGTTGTGATGCACCCCTTGCCCAGAAATGCGGAGATTGCGGAGGAGGTTGACTTCGACCAGCGGGCGGCCTATTTCAGACAGGTTGGTCTCCCCTTGGTGCTTGTTATCGGACGTGACCATGCTAACTTTGGATCTACAGATGAGATATGGCCTCTACTGTCGCATGGCTTTGCTTGCATTGATTCTGGCGCCTTAGGTCATTTACTTTACTTAAGAAGAGGGAGCCGTATGAACTCCATGATCTCCATGTCATGGAAGGCAACCTCGTTAATTCTTTTGCTTGCGTTTTGTTTCTTTTTCCAGCATGTGTCACCAAAAGTTATGCAGTGTCATTACAGAATACCGCGTAGGCTTCTTAGAAAGCGCCCGCATGATAGATTAGATGAATTCCCTTTTATGAACATGACGATTTCGTTGTGTGTTATGTATGATGTATTGTGTATTGTCTGTTATGTGTTTTGTGTGATGTTTACGTGTGGTGTATGTTTTGTGTGTTTTGTGTGTTTTGTGTGTGGTGTGTGTTGCGTTTCTTTTTCTGTTCTTTTTCTTTTCTTTTCTTTTGGTGACCGGCGTGTTTTCTTTTCTTTCTTCTCTCTTTTCTTTACACTTTTCTCTTGGTTTGGGTGTTTTGGGATGGAATATCTGGGATTTTTTTTTTCTTATGGCGTTGGATTTGGTTGGGGTATGGGACTGGAACGGAAACGGAAAGTGGCATGGATGCCTGGATACCTGATACCCCCATATGCCTGCGAGGCACGACACGACTACTACTACATATACCCTTGGATACGACAATACACTGATTCAGTTCAGATAACCTCATTCTGGATCTCAATTGAATTATGATCCTGACTCTTCTATGATAGTCAGGTCTTTTCCCATAAGACTCTTCTCCCATAGCATTCTCTTTTACCCCTCCCTCTCTTTCTCTTATTACTATGGACCACCGCTCTCAGAAAATATCCAGGGGTCACAATAATTAAGAAATATCTCTGGTGAATCAGTCAATCAACTATCTATATCCATCAATTGAGTCGAAAGCCATTCCAATGGCTCTGTTTTCAATAGGGTAATTGGCATAGAATGCGTTACTACTTCGTAGAAGGAATAAATTTCTCGATTCTTCATCTGCAGGCTGATGGCGTGATCTACTGTGCCCTGATAATCTTCAGCAATAGGTATCTTGGAATACAAAATGTTGTTTAAGCAAGCGGAAAGATCATTAGCTGTTGGACATGCGCCCCCACACCCGATTACACGATCTCATAGGGTCATAAACTTGCCGGTATACTAGTATAGCTTTCCTGCAATGGATGATCTTTCCTTTTTAGCCCCGGCTGTCTCCAATGTCGCCATCGCGGAGGCCCAATTGCTCATCCATCATCCCTGTGAAGTACTAAACGCTGCCTACGCTACCTCGTCCACCGCTTTATTTAGGTCTGTCTGGCCGTGCCAAGGCTGTCGGCATTCATGATTTGCTGATTAGTGGGTCTACACTTTCTATACACTGCAAGATCAACCCCTCTGCGGGAGAAAGTAGTGGTCTTGATCTTGCGACTTTGTGTCATTCGCTGTCCTCATCGCGTGAAATGCTGGGGCGATGATGTGCTGTTTGCCATGTGGTACCCCAAACCTTCTGCTTATTTTAAATAACCAGCCTTTGCCTGGCCTAAGATTTCGTAGCCTTTCAGCGTCGACCCTAACCACGGTTTCTTCAGCACGGCTATTCAGTTTACTACGGCCCCCTCAATCATGGCAGATTCCAATAAGGAAGTAAAGATTACTTCCTTACCCGGAAAAGCAAAGACTGTTTCTCCTACCGCGAGCACACTTGCTGATGAACATAATGGCATCAACGAGAAGGCCCTACTACGGAAACTGGATATGCGACTCCTTCCACCGTTGACAATACTGTATCTCTTGTCATTTTTAGATCGTAGCAATGGTATAAACCTTTTTACTGAAGCAAGATGGGTTTGTTCTAATTATTCTTCCGTATAGTGGGCAATGCCCGCCTTGAGGGCTTGACGACTGATATCAACATGAGTACGAACTACCGAAACGAACCATTGGAAGAAAGCTTCACTGACGGCGATTGACGCACATAGCTGGTAACCAATACTTAACGGGTCTGACACTCTACTTCATCGGTTACGTGCTGTTTGAAATTCCCTGCAATATCGTGTTGAAAAGAACCACGCCGCGGATCTGGCTTCCTACGCTCACATTGGTCTGGGGTATCGTTGCTACTCTTCTTGGTGTCGTGCAGAATTATGCTGGTTACTTGATTTCACGGACAGGTATGCCTAGCTCAAGCAACTCGTAAGAAGAAATACTGATGGGTTGGAGGTCTTTCCGGTTTGCTGGGTCTCTTGATCCACGGCAACCGGAAGGCTTTTTCCAACAATAGCCCTTGGCATTGCAGAAAGCGGACTTTTCCCTGGAGTTGTGTTTTACTTGTCTATGTGGTATAAGAGGAATGAGCAGCACTATCGGGTAGCATTGTTCTTTAGCGCTGCGTCGTTAGCTGGTGCTTTTGGTGGTGTCCTAGCCTGGGTACGTCCTCTGTAGAAGACACCCAAAATACAACACGCTGACTATCATTCAGGGCATCGCACATATGCGAGGTGTTGGTGGATATAACGGATGGAGGTGGATCTTCATCCTGGTATGTGTCTACTCACTCTCGACGCTAAAGCTTTTACCAGCTTACTCTGGCTTAGGAAGGGCTGGCAACAGTCGTCATGTCCGTTATTGCTTACTTCTGGGTTTATAACTACCCCTCCACAGCGGAGTTTCTATCAGAAAAAGAAAGGGCGTTTATCCAATTTCGCCTGAGGAACGATAATGACTCGATGCGGGACGAGAAGTTCACCTGGTCAGGGGTTTTGGATGCTTTCAAGGACCCGAAGGTCTGGCTATACGGACTTGGTTTCCATACAATGTCCCTTCCGATGTATACACTGTCTCTTTTTATGGTGAGGACTTATGGAGCAGTACTAGTTTGATCGAATTGCTGACAATGCGCAGCCTACTATTATCAAAGAGCTAGGGTACACAGCCGCTGAAGCCCAACTTCTCTCCGTTCCCCCGTACGCTGTTGCATTCGTTCTCACGATTACTGTTGCCGTCCTTTCAGAGCGCACCCGCCGTCGGGCGCCGTTCATTATGGGATCTACTGCCCTCGCTTGTATCGGTTATATCATCCTACTGACGGACCACCGGCCGGGGGTATCCTATGTGGGCACTATCTTTGCCGCAGCCGGGATCTATCCCGCAGTGGCCATTGTGCTTTCGTGGCCGGCTAATAACGTGTCTGGGCAGACAAAGCGGGCAATTGCCAACGCCATGCAGATTTCAATTGGGAACCTTGGGGCTGTTCTAGGGACGCAGCTCTATCGAACCGAGACGAGCCCCCGTTATTATCTCGGCCATGGATTCTCATTGGGATACCTCGTTGCGAACATTATCGTTGTAGGCATTCTCTGGCAAGTTTTAAGGCGTGAGAATATCCGGAAAGCAGAAGTCAGGGAAAGAGAAGGGCTACAAGTGATAATGGGTGATATTGGAAATTCAAGTGAATTCCAAGGAGATCAAGACCCTCGGTGGATTTTCCAGACATGAGGCAGCGTATTGATTCATGATTGATTGCTCGGCTTAGTATCGCATCACTCGATAATGTCTCGTTTGACTTGGTAAATAAATGAAGAATATCGAGAGTAATATGAATTTTGCGACGGTTCATCTTAGCGTTGATGCACGTGGCTGATCCGCGGCAGTTGAGCGGAACGGCCGCCCTCCTTCTGATCCTTTAGTCTCTTAGACCAGGATTTCGACATCGGCTATACTTCTCGATCAATTTGCGACCGAGCTACTGTGGAGACCTGGCGTGGTCATGGCTTTTTTGATTTGTTCTACTCTGTACACCGTCCCCTGAATTAATCGCGTGGTTATCATCAAGCCATATAAATAAATCAGACTGACCGGTAGCTTTAAACTTCTCTTTCACGTTGTACTCTCATTAAGTCTAGTCCAGCAATTATTCTCCCAGTTTGTGACTACCGACGGAACAATGGGTGTGGCACTGAGAACCTTGTGGTTACTGGGTCTGAGCTCTGCGGCCTCGGCCAAGGCGTTCGAACCGTTGGAGCATTTAGGTGCTAATTCTCCGTGGTTCGCGGGTAGGCTTCTTTCTACACCCATTTCCTCGAGGATAAACTAGTTGTCTGATGAGTCCAGGGCCCAATGTCAACAAGATTGCATCTACTGTCCCTGGCGAATGCTCCGTGGACCAAGCTGTTTACATTGTCCGTCATGGCAGCAGATACCCTGACCCCGGTGCCTACCAGGAATGGGAGGACCTCCACGAAGCGGTATGCTCTCAAGTATGGATTTCTCTCGTGCTAAATAATGACACAATATCATCCAGTTCCAATCCGCCGACTATCGCGCTACCGGGTCGCTGAGCTTCATCTCCGATTGGAGTCCAGTGCTGAGGCACCCCGACCAAGAGATTAGTCAGTTGTCCATTACTGGCTATAAGGAGCTGTAAGCCAATCGATCTCCCACAGGGCCGCTTGTTCGCTGACATGAGATAGATACAACCTTGGTGCCGATTTGCGATTCCGGTATCCGAATTTCTACCGGGATAACACTCCTTTCTTGCTGTGGGCGAATGACTATCAGCGAACCATTGATTCCGCGAGGTAGGCAAATTGCTCTGCTTCGTGCATAGTGGTTAATCTGGTGAACAGACTCTTCGCTCGCGGGTATCTGGGCCCCAATGCTTCTTACGGTGACGTCTACGTTGTGGATGCAGATGCCTCGAGTGCTGTTGGCAACTCCTTAGCTACCTCTGACCAGTGTCCCAACTTTAAGGATGCCAGTGGAGGAGACCAAAAATCCGAATGGCAAGACATCTATCTTCCTCCCATCACCAAACGCCTCAATCAGAAACTCTCCGGGAATCTCACTCTCACGGATGACCAGGTCTCCTTGTTCCCTTACCTGTGCGGTTTTGAGACACAGATCACCGGCCAGGTCAGCCCGTGGTGTGATGTGTTCACTAAGAAAGAGATCCTAGAATATGAATATGCTCAGGATCTGCGATACTACTACGGCACAGGTATGTATATCACGGAAAGGGAAGAAACACGACTAACAGGTATATGGCAGGGCCTGGTGTCGGCAAGAACA